TGGTGGTGTAAAGGTTAAAAGGGGCAGAATTGGGGCTGGGGGAGGCGAGGATGGTATGGGGCAGGGGCTGCACTGGGGGTGGCTGGATTGGGCAACCATCCGTCTAGGAAGCAGGTTGAGCTGTTGTTGAAATGGGTGCAGGGATGGGGGTGGAGGAATATTGGGTCATGATGCAGCAAAAGCTGGTTTGGGGACAGGGAGGTGGGGGCTACGTGGAAGTGCAGGTGGGAAGCAGGAGAATGGTTAGTGATGGGTTGTTGAAATGGGTGCAGGGATGGGGGTGGAGGAATATTGGGTCATGATGCAGCAAAAGCTGGTTTGGGGACAGGGAGGTGGGGGCTACGTGGAAGTGCAGGTGGGAAGCAGGAGAATGGTTAGTGATGGGGGGGATGAGTGGGGGAGAGAAAAGGGTGGTAACTATTGGACAGATATTACAGGGACACCATCCATGCTCACTTTTTCACCTCCTGTTCACTGCACCTGCTCCAGGGAGACTTCTAAACCCCATTTCCTCTCCTAAGTGGTGCCACATGGCCCTGGGCTGTACACACACTCTGCATTCCTTGGCAAGGACCTTCCTCCAACTGTGAAACATGGCTGCTGGGTCCTGACATCCCTCTGCAGTGCTCTGCTCCCCCAGCCTGGTGGCTCCATTATTGCAGCAGCGGTCCCTAGGTCCCTAGGACAGGAAGCCCCTCGTCCCAGGGCTGCACACCCAGGCCACCCCCCCACAGCAACACAAGTGCTGGCCCCCAGCTCCCTCGAGGTCACCCCACCTCAGGAACTCCAGCGGGGGTTGAGCACAGGTGCAGGAAATTGTCATGACAGTCCCTCCCCCATCTCAGCTGGGGATTGGGGGGACCTAGGCTCAGAGCCAACCAGGGCCAGTTGAAGGAGCTTTGACAGCAAACACACCCCAGCATGGCTGGCTCCATGCTTCCCCCTCCCAGGCACACACAGGACAGAGCACTTCACAGAAACTGCAGCAGACACAGGCAGGGGGGGCCATATTAAAATGGAACTGGCTGCCGCTGAGCCATGGGAGACGGGGGCCACGTCCCCCCACCCTCCACAGTTACCCTCTGCTGGGGAATTCTCCCTCCACACTGAGCACCAGCTCAGACTCAGGCAGAGGTTGGATGCCCATCCCCCACCTCCAGGCAGCTGAGCCCCAGATATCCACGTCAGCAGCTATTGGCAGGGCTCCGCAGCAGCCTGATTGGCCCTTCCCCTCCTAGCCAAAGGGGGCAACAGTTAGTCTCCTCTGTCTGTATTGGGGCTTTACCCCCCCCACCTCCGCACAGCTTCTCCAGGCCTGCACCTGCTATGCAGCGAGCACCCACTGATGAGGCTTGGAGGTTTCCGAGCCAGCTGCAGAACTGGGCAGAGAGGGAGCAGCTTCCTTCCATACTGGGGAGGATGAGGGTCAACCCGCACACCACTTCAAACAGCACAACAGACCAGAGGCCTGAGTGACGGGCTAGGACCCACTGGAGAGACCGGGAGGAGATGAGGATTCCTGGGTCCCCTGCAGGAGAGACACCCCTCCAGACCAGAGGGAGGCGGCGGAGCAATAAGGCACAGAGAGGCCTTGGGCGGTGAGGTGCGCTAACGTTCCCCTTTAATAACCCGACACGCTAGAGTACAGTGGCTTCATGGCTCTGGGGCTGGCAGGAGGCCCCTGCATGGCCTGGAGAGACCGGGAGGAGATGAGGATTCCTGGGTCCCCTGCAGGAGAGACACCCCTCCAGACCAGAGGGAGGCGGCGGAGCAATAAGGCACAGAGAGGCCTTGGGCGGTGAGGTGCGCTAACGTTCCCCTTTAATAACCCGACACGCTAGAGTACAGTGGCTTCATGGCTCTGGGGCTGGCAGGAGGCCCCTGCATGGCA